GGAGAGATTAATTTTATAGAAAGTTTTTGTCTCAATTCGACCTGTGTGACTTTATGATGTATTTATTTATTTTGAATTTTTCTTCTTGTGCTGGAATTTACCGTACTATCCCTTTTTGTGATTTCATGCACCTTTATTTCATCAAACCTAATCTGCTTTTGATTGCACCAGACAACATTGAAGAGCATTGTAAGCCAGGGTGCATACTGTCCAAGACCCACCTTATTTTTCTCATTAGAAAACATGTGCATTTTTGTTTCATTATTTCTTCCTGGTAAATGGGCACTTTGTAAACTCCCACCTGAGGGCATGGCACCTCTAAAAAGGACTGTGTCAAGGTTAGTCATAATGAGTAAAATATGCAAATTCAAATTAAAAATATTTTCTTAATCGAGGATGCATAAATTATTCCCAGTGGGCATCTAAGTGACAATAAATTTCACATGTCTGGGAATTAATATGCCCCACTTATATTACTTCACTGTTCCATTAAAAAAATAAAAGCATTATTCATTTAAATGGCTTCCTCCGCATTTAGCTTCTGAAAAAGAGATCCAACTAGTACTTCAAGGCCTAAATTTGAGTAACATATGGAAAAAATGTGTGTGCTTGCATACTGAACTTGGGAAGAGAATTGCATTTAACATGACATTAAAAAAGTGTAAAATAAAACCGTACAAAACAGGTTCAGCTAATTGTTGTGATCATCTGAAACAATGTCAGCGTTTGGGATACCTAATTTTAGAGTATTCAGAAGCTTTCTCTGTGTCTAAATGTTTTGAGCTGTGGCTCCAACCCTGTTAAACCCATACTGTGGCCAGGCAGGACAGTGCATGAGCACATTTTTTCTGTCCTCCTTTCAGGGCTGTCCCCGATCTGCAGAGCAGCTGTTTCTGCTCTGCCTGCTCCATGCAGGGGAGGGAGGGTGAGAAGAAAGCTGGAGCTGAAGCCTGAAGTTCTGAGAGGGGCCAAGGAGTGTTTGAGCTGGGAATGGGCAGGAGGGTGTGAAGAAGGTTTGTGGGGATGCCTTGTGGAGCTTTTAGGTGTCAGCTGGAGCTGGCTTTTTATCATCTTTGGCAGTTTGTTCCTATGAGCAGCAAAAGATGAAAATGGGGGTTAGTACACCCGCACACATCCTCCTCCTCAGCTAAGCAGGCTTGAATGTCTGAGGGGTTCTGCAAGCTCTTACTAAGTGTATACCAAGCACTACCTTGTATCTAATCAGTATTTTTTGGAAGCCTTTGGAGGTGCTTGTAATCCTACGGATGCCATACAACTCCGGTTCTCTCCATGAAAATCGTTTACAGTGGGATTTCAAAAGTGCTCCGTCTATACCTGCTTCCTTAGAAATCAACTGTTAACGTCCGTGCGACTTCACTGGGAGGAGTAACACCAACACCGAGTGCCTGGAAAACGCCTCCCTAACCTGTAAATGAGAATATACATCTGAGAATGTTGCAACCTAATTTTTATACCGAGCATATGATTGTAGTAACTGAGTGCCCTAGATTTAGTGCTCTATCTACTTGATGATGTCACTTCATCACCTCGTCTGAATTTGACACTGTAATTCATATTTGCATAGCATTTATTTTCTTTGGTCTCTCTGGTCCTTGTATTTCTACAGTTTTGGTCATATCAGTCCAGTCCCAGACCCGTGCTCACACAGACATTGAAGTAGCTCTTTATCCTAGCTATTTCAGTATGAAAAGGCATGGGGCATTTTCATTTATCTCTCTGTTTTTCTGCTGCTTGAACATGGTTAGGGACAAACCAGTTATGGACTAAAACTGAGGCATTGTTTGTATTTGTTTATATTTTTTTTTCTTCAGAACATCTGAATAAATACTTAAGTGTCACTTTAAAATGTTGGTCTACTTCATTGTTAAATTGTGATTCTAATGTTAGAAATACTAAACGATGACAGGTTTTAAAGAATTTTTCAAAAATCGAGTCTGGAGGTAACAGCTTTATTACTGCAGGATGACTTGACCCATATTTCCTAATGTGATTTCCCTGCTGTAACTTGAATTGAGTTCATGTAAGTCTAATGATATCAGTTGACCTTGAGAGCTAGACCTAAAAGCCTGTAGTTGTCCTGTTTTTTTATTATTATTTTCCAGTGTTTTTGTTTTCTTAAGTTTTTCACTGTTTTCAAGAAATGAAATTTCTTGATTCAGATGTTCTTAAATAAAGAACACCAAATATTCTACTAAGAAAGTATGATGAGTTATGGCAACAAGAATCTTAGCAATTTATTTCAATCTTGTGATCAATTTTATTTTAAATATAGTTGCACAGTGATACCTCTCACCATCGTTAAGTCCTTAATGATGATCATACCTGTGTAGCAGAGGGATAGTGCTAATTACGTGGCCACGTGAAAAATAATTGTCAAATACTTTTGGCTCCTTTAGTGACACAGTGATGATTTTGCTATTGCTATTTAGTATTATTAACCTTCAGCTCTGCCCTTTAATGATTAATACCTTTTTATATGGTTATTCTAAAACCAACTATTAGTTAATATTTTCCCTCATTTATCAAGTGTTTGTACTTCCAATGAAAATGCCTGCCTGATACCTTGGGTCAATTTAGTAGTAATGATGAGTTTTGAGTCAGCTATTTTAATATCCACTAGGTTAAAAACATTAGATTTCTCCACAGTCATGTGAAGGGGATGCTGCCAGCTTTCCAGTGGGTATGGCACTTTTAGCTCTGAGATCACAGCTTCAAACTTGCTTTGAGCCCTTTAAGAGCAAACCTGAAAACCACCTCATTACTATGCATAGAAAAACTACTTTAATCACTTTGAGATTTCTAAAATGTATTTGTTAAAATCTTTCTCTCTTTCTGAGGCTGATATCATTTGACTAAGGGCACTGAGGGAGCCTGACTTGAGAGGTATTGGGACATGAAAATATTGGAAATTCTTATAAGCAGTGTTTAAAATAGCTTTTCTGTAAATGGTTTGGTTCACACAGAAAATGTGATCGTCTGGTGCTGTGGTTTGGCAAGCACTTGATGAATATGAATAAATTCACAGGTGACTTCACCTATTATGAGTTATGTGACCATGTTGAATTTGTCATAACAACTTTTCTGGCATCATGATTTTTCTCCTTTCCCTCTCATGCTTGCCAGTAGTTGTAGGCAAGAGAGATGGACCTGTTGGAGAGTCTAGCAAAGGGCCACAAAGATGATTATGGGACTGGAGCATCTCAGTCATCTCAGCACCTATGAGGAAGGCTGAGGATGCTTATAAAAATAAAATATTGATTTAAAAAATTTGTTTTGAAAAAAAAAATATTTTTGTTTGGTTTTGATGTTTGTTTCCTTACACCTGCTTGTGATGTCGGGGGCATTTCAAGTAGGAACCCAGGGCTCTTGCCCTGTGGCTTTCTGCTATTGAGAAAGGAGGGTGGACAGCCCTGTGTTATATAGATCTTGAGGTTATTGTCTAGGAAATTTTGGTTTCGTTTATTGGAAGGCAATCGTGAACGTGGAAAACTTGGAGTTCTGTGATTGTTTCTGGGAAGAGAGGGATATTCCCATGTGAATGTGAATCAGGAACGGTCACTGCATAGAATAAAGTTAATTCATGACGTTATTTTTATAATGCTGTTTTCATTAGAGATACAGTTCAGAACTGAAGATAAATGATAAGGAAGATGTAATTCTTCTACTGAAATCACTTATATTTTTAGCATTTAAGTAATACTTGAAACACAAGGAAGATTTTTGCTCGTTAGAGACTTTAATTATTCTTTTATTTAACTTAGCTCAGTCAGATAAATTGATTTCCAGATTTTGGCCTTGAAACTAATGAAGAATCCTTTCAGACATTAGAATAGGTGTAGAAGACTTGGGGAAAAAAGTCACGATTACAAATTCTCTGAGCTGAACACCAACAGGTTGACAATTGCTAGCTGTAACATGATGTTTGTGATATTAATATTTCTTGTTCTTAAATTCATGGCAAAGTACTTTGGTATTGTTTTTTAAAATTTTGTGTATTGAAAAAGGTATTTTGTTTACCTCCCAGCCAAGGAAAGCAAAGCAACTAAGAAGTGGGATAAAAGAAACTGGTCGTTGCTAATATTTGCTTTTGTCTGATGAGCAAAGCATTTTTTTAAAAAACAATCTAGTAACAATATCTGTTCTTTTAATTTTGTGTTAAAAACTGGCGGAGTTTTGTGGGTAGTGAGTAGCGTTGTTGATAGGCGGAGAGGCTTATGAAACGTTAATAGTGATCTTCAAAAATATTTTGATAGATGTTAATATTGAAACAGCATTTGGAAATGAGGGAATATTTCAACATAACTGGCTTGTGTAGTTTGATCACCTGATCCAGTATTTTTGTATCCTTGCCCTTGCTGGGCTAGAATATGAAATTAAGCATTCAGATCTGGAAACCCCAGTCTCTGGAGAATTTTGCTCTTTTGGAAAAGGCAACTCTGTCAGCACAATGGAACCATCTCATGTTGCTGGAATAAAAGGCATTTCTGGAAGGCATTTCAATGAAAATATGAAACTGTAGAGACCACATAGAGAGAGGGAGAGCAGGAAAGAGATAAGGAGGAATATGGGTGTAAAAATGTTAGAGAAACAGTGGGCCAACCCCATTATTTTGTGCGAACTTGGGTTAAGTAAGCCTACAGAATAAAACCCTTTAATAAAAAAAAGGTTAATGTATTAGTATTAAAATGAAGAGGATACCTGCTGACTTGCTATGGTTTTATATGCAAAGCTGTTTTTTTTCTAATTCATTTTTCTGCATGCTCCTATTACTTCGAGAAAGTTTTAATATAGACTTTAAATATCTTCTAACTGAAATTGATTAAAATGTGTTTCACTCCTTATGTGGGGTCTCACTGAATGTATTTTTGCGTTTAGAATTGGTGATTTTTATTTTTATCAGCTTCGTAGTGCAAGTCGTTGATGTAACTTCAATGTGTGCTGGATTAGCTTCTACTGTTAACACTCCTTTTCATTTCCAGTTGCTGGAATTATTACAGCTGATTTTGCCCCAGGCACGGTTCACTGGGGAGCTGGTACCTGGGGTTCCGCTGATATCCCTGTCACTGGCAAGGTAAGGAGAGGCTGACTTGCATTTGCTATGAGTAGCAGACTAGAAATAAATCATTTTAATATGCTTTCTGAAGATAAAAAATTAGGCGGGGCAGTGGGTGTCTTGCTGATTATTTATATGCACACTGGCAGTATCTGGGAACCTTGACTGTGGCTCTTGAAATAATATTCTTTCTTACTGATGTGCTGAGAAATGACTCTTGCTTAAATACTGAAGGAACTAGCCTATTTCAAAGGGATCATTTTCTGTATGCCAAATAAAAATGTTTTTGTTTGTTTGTTTGTTTCCCTTGGAAAAAAAACAGCCCACCTAAACTGAATATGTTATAATAAGTCTGCATAACAGTATGAAATTGTAGGGCTCTTTAGCCTCTTTTCCATTCAACAGGTTTATCAAGTGGTACCTCAAGCCCAGTTCATAAATATCTTGTGTCCAGCATGTCTGTTCAGCTATCTGTGATGCTTGCTCTTTTGATATTAGACCAGGAAATAACTCGCTTTCCAGAAATGCTTGCTAATTCCTTTTATTGTACTAGCATGGAAGGAGCTATGTAGCTGAATGACATTTGTTTAGTTAGTCGTGTAATATGAGCATCGTTCAAAAGAAGCCAGCACTGAGAATAAGCTGTTATTAAACCCCTGAGTTTTGACAAGTCTGCGCTTTCTGTCTGAACACTACTGAAATGAATTAGTTCCTTGCAACAATGCCATATTTAGCACACTAATAAAAGAGAGGAAGGAAGGTGGATCTTTGATAAGCTAATTATTTTTGGAACTTGCATCAGAGTTTAGTAAATCAGCATGCTGCATCTGCAGTGCTAACCAAACTAATCTAAAATACTTGCCTCCCTGTGGAGGTATAGAAATGTCATAGTCCATGGAGACCTGCACTGCATTTATGCAGGTCTGCCTTTTCTGTCATAGATTCAACAGACCTTTCCAGAGAAGAGCTACAGTACTTTAAACCACCTTAACATGGGGTTTAAAGAGATTAATGAATATCGGCCTTGTACTAAATAAATCTTTATCACTTGCTTTACCTACTACGGTAATTGCTTCAGTGCAGTGGAACACATTCAGTCTGCCAGCTCCCCATTAATCTCAAATACATCTCTGACAAAGAATCTACCTTATCTTTATTTTGTGTGTGGGCACGCATGTGTGTGCCAGCTCTGGTACTTGGTCAGGTCATCAAAATATATACTATATATTAATCTGTTTATTTGTACGGATGCTGCATGCTTGAGGAGTACTGACCTCATGTATGAGACTTTCAATTGTTTTTTTAAAAAAGGGCTCCCAAGCCACATACATATGCAGTCCTTTAACTGAATAAACTGTGTTAACAAATATGAGGGCCGAGACTGTTGGATACAAACAATGTGTGTATCTTGCTCAGGAAAACATCCTTCCTGTCCCTCCCCCCAAAAAGGAATAATTTGGGTCATGCCATAGATACCTACACATGTATTTGTGTATGTGTGTGTGTGGGGTATCTCTCCATATCATAGCTTCAAAACAGATTTATTCTTACAGGCATGACAAAAAATATCTTTTAACGTTGCTATCAAGTTATGAATTATAATTTTAGAATCAGGTTAGTGTGGTATGTAAATACTGCAGCTATTTTACCCCTGTTTCATAATTCAAATAACATTAAATTTTACTCAGCCACAATGTTACAATGAAATTAATTATGTATTTTTTTGTGTGAATTTAAGCTTCTTTAAACTGCCTGACCTTAAAAAAAATACTTTTTTACATAGTATTTCTGGAGTTTTTCACTTATGAAAGCACTATCCATTTTCTAAGCTCACAGTCAAACATGTAAGCAGAAATTGGGTAATTTTGGAATAACCAGTAAGGATGATAAGGATGATTTATCTGAATGAATTAAGTTTTCCCTGGGAAGGATAGCAGAAGCTGGTACGTAGAAGGAATATTAGTCTGGGTATGGGGGGGCCTTGCAGACTTGCTCACATAGTTCATATCTGCACAGGTAGTTGAGGGACAAAAAAAGAAGGTAAGAGCCAAATCAAGAGATGAGGGTGGGAGGGCTCATGGGGTACACAAACTGGGGCAGTGTGGAGTTGAACATGGGGCAGAAATTAGGTATAGTTGTATGTTGTCAGCCTGAAGTTTAGTGCTGCATTGGATTCCTTCCCAGTAGATCGGATTCAGATGAGATTCATCGCAAAGTTTAGGAAGGAAGATGACCTAGACCTAAAAGAAAACAAACCAAATATAACAAGCCCCAAAACAGCAGAGCATAAAACGCCCCATGGATTGAAATCTTTTCTGTAAGTGGTGCTGATCTAGTACGTGAGTGTCCAAGTCCTTGAGAATACTGGGCATACTTTGCGTTTTTTAAGTGAAGCTAACTTTTCAAAACAGAGGGCATGGTTGTTCTGGGTGCTTGTTTTCATAGGCAGAGTGTTGTCCGCTGTTGTAACTGCTGCTGCTGCATGTGAGATGAGGACAGTAAGACAGCAAGGAGGTGGGGGCTGGCAGGGGGGTTGATGCAGTGTGCCTGGGGAGGGTCCTGAGCACGCTCTGCCTGCACAGTGGCACACAGACGACATGTGGCTCAAGTTCCCACATCAACATAGGCATGCTAGCGCTGCACCGTGCCCCACAGGCACCAGGCTGGTGAGCACAGGGCAACACGGTGCTGTCCTGATGCCCTGTGCTCAGAATCAGCTTGCTCTGCTCTGATTTGAAAGCACTGGGCTCCCTGCGTGGCTGAGACGTGGGCGGTGTTATACCACTCTTAGCGGGACATCTGGGTCCTGTGCTTGACCTTGGGCATCTTTCTTTATGCCTCTGCACTGCAGTTTGCACATCACAGTAATTATGTCTTTTACTTCCTTTCTTTATGTGCATTGGCATAGATCTGGAAAGCTTCATATAGAAATATTAAGGATTATTGTTGCTAAACACTGTGGGAGATAGCCATGACTTTTGCCTTGTCATGTTACACACCCAGTTTCTTAAAATCTTTAAGGAAAATAGATTTCTTTGTAAAAGTAGTTTCAGTGAATAGGTAAGGCAATGTTTCATAGGTTACTCTGGAATTTCAAGTGACTCGAGACTGGTTAATGGAGCTGACCTGTACACTTATCTGAACTGTTCTTGATTAAGGGGTGGGTCTGTTCTGCAGAAAAACCACAAGTGAGAATTTGCCCTTTACATTTAGATGATTATTTTTATACCATGTTTCTTGACCTTTCGGTGCTGTGTTTGGTGCAGGTGGTTGCTAAGCACATTTTAGCTCCTGCTTTAAAAATCAGTTACAAGATACTGATGGGTTTGAGACTGTATTCAAGAGCTGGCAGTGTGCTTGTGCTTTTGGCTTTTTTACTCGCATATCTTTTACTGCTCAGCTGCTAAGACCGTGACCTAGCTGATGCTGCAATACTTCTTCCTTTTTCTCCTTTGACCCACTGTTTTCAGAGTTTCCTTAGAGTCCTGCATACAAACCACACGTACTGCAGCTTGATGCTTCTGTGTGTAGCTGCTGGTTTTGCCCTTGCTCTACAGTTGACCTTGCAAGGTCTTTCTTTCACAGTAATGTTTATATTTTATTCATTTTCAGGTTTGAGACTGGATTCCTGTAACAGCGTTTATCCTGAGAGCTGTTGTTCACATGTGGACAACAACTGCAATAAACAAATAGTTACAGCAAAGCACTGATTGCATGCATGAACCTTACATGCATCTCCTCTGATTTGCAAATGTAGCATCTTTCACATGATGCCAAAATTAGAGCTGTTTGTTCCAACAGCTTCCCCTAAACATTTGTGTGACAATGCAGGACAGAAACTTTTCAGTACAAGGTGGATCCTTATTTTCAAACTGTCTTTTAATTTCTAACATATTGGCTGAATGAACTAGAAGATGACAAGTAACAGCTACATGAGGTTAGCCAAAATTCTTTAACTCGGCAGCTGAGGTTTGATAGGCTTTGGTACCCAATGAATAATACGTTCAGTTCAGAGCTGGTGCTGAAGTCTTCTGCAGAGATGTCCATCAGACATTCTTGGGTTGTAAAACTGATGTGGAACGGGGACAAGGACAGAGACTTCTCTAGCTTTATTGAATGAAGACATTGGGAATAAAAGGTTGGAAAATAATTATCTTCCTGGATTTCAGCAGTGCTGGATGCAGAGGCTGGATAAGAATCTGCTCTCTTCAGGATCAGGGCTGATAATTTGCACATTTGCATATGAGCACTGATGGCGCAATCAAACCAGAGGCGTGCTGGAAATCTTTACCCAGAGCTTTCCACAACTGCAAGCATGTAATTGTGCTATTATTCTGGAGAGATTTTTCAGTCTCAACTGCAAAATATCCATAGAGTATTCTGGTTGTCCTACCCCTCTTCTATCTTACTCTGGTAGTTTTTGATTCTTGCTTGCTTTTAGGAGAGTGGCAAGTGCTTGTTTAACTAGCAGCTGGCACACTACATCAGGAGACTTTGCTAGTCCTGTTGAGGTAGGTCACCACTCCCAGGAGACATGTAAAGCATCTTTAAACTGGGATTTAGGGTCGCAGGATGAACTAGACCAGAGGAGTCTGTAGTCTATGGCACATTTTCCAAAGGCTCTGTCCAGAGTGAGGTGCTCAAGTCATGTTGAAGTTGATGTGACTTTAGGATCTACATAAAAATAAAACCATGTCTGCAAGAGTAATTACCATTGACTAGGCTTTTAAGGCTTGAAATCTTTCCTGTCTGAGTAGTCAATCCAAATCCTTCCGACCACCCATTCTTAAGTGCACTTGCAGATTAAGAATTATTTTTCATTTGGCATCTACAACTAGTTGTTATTGCATCTGCTAAGGATCAAAATCACTAGATTTTTTTTAATTTATTTTTGGTCATTAGAAGCCTTTCCTGGGTAGCTCCTCTAGTTTGGGTGTATATAAGTACTCATTTCTTGGATGCTAACAAATTTTATGTTAGCCACCTAACACAGACATTATGGCTCTATATAATAGATCTCAATTATCTTGCTTTTTTATTTTATCTATTTTATCAATTATCTATCATTTCACAAAAACCAGTTTAGTTCTAAGCTTTCAAGGGCTTGTTTTATTTTATTTTAAGTGTGCATTATGTTGTTAGGCTTCCTTTTATATCCTTGCTATTTACTTTTTCACACTTTTTGTGTGAAATAAGAATAAGAACTTGAACTCTGAAGTCTCTCCCTCACACAGGCTGGAATATTTAAAGGGTTTGTGCTTACAGGTCCTCATTAGAGTCCTAGTCCTTTATTCCTTCATGGTAACTTTTAGACATTAGCTTTTCACTCACCCTCTTATAGCTCTGCATATCTTGTGCTTTTTTATTGCTGCAAATATTGTGATTTCCATACAAAAAGTTCTAGTATTCTGCTAGCAGAGCAGGTAAGGCTTATGTACGAGGTAAACATACTTTTTCTCCAGTTATTTTTTTTAATTTTTTTTTTCTGAAAGCTCTTTGAGGAATTTTCTCTTGCATAGCATGGGACAAAATCACCTGATGTCATAATCTTAATAATACAAGATCTTTTTCTGCCTGAGGCTATTTGCCTTTATACTCTGAGAGTGTGAGTTACCGGAGAGGGGCATTGATTCTGAAAGGCACCAGTTTAAAGTTCAAATACCTGATTTTTTATTTTTTTTTTTTTTTGTGCACCACGTGCTTATCAGACATTGTGAAAAATCTGTGATTGACTATGGGCTTTTCTTAAATCATGTTATTTGAAGTACTCAAAATGCTTCTTATTTTTTTTTTTCCTTGTATGTCTAAGAGCAGTGACTGATGCTTTCCTCATGGTGTAGTGGGACAAAACTACAGGCAAGTTTGTAGCAGCTTGACAAAGACATGCAGTGTGGTTCACAAACCTCTACAGCACAACCTTGAAATTAGGCTTTCTCAGGAATAACTAAAGGAGCAAGTATGGGGCTGTCTAAAGACCATTTCTACATGTAGGAAGCTGTGCAGAACAGTATACAGTGGAAGGATGTCGTTTCTTTGTTTTTGGTCTTTTTAAAGGCTGCTAAGTGGAAAAAGATGAATGGATGAAAATAGATTTTTAACATATATATTTTTTTCTTTCTCTCTTAAGGCACTGCTTCCACCTAGAGCTTTCTTCCAAAACTTGAGATGAATGGAATCTCTTTCATTGAATTTAAATTGAATAAAATTAGAAGTGCTATGAGAAGCCTTTGGGATGGGGAATTTTCACACGTGTTTTCTAATGAATGGCATTCTCCAGCTGGCCTTGTGCCCTGCCTAATGTTTTGCACAGCCCTAAAAATTTGGGGTCCGCATACTTTGTTCACCATGGATATTTGCATCAGTGAGAATATTTTGAGAGAGAGACTCTATTGAGAATAAGATTTTATTAACTCATGGAGGATATAATATTATTTTATATGCAATAATTTTCAGCTTCAGAATGCTTTTGTGTAATATTATAAATCAAGCCCAGCTAAAATATGCACTGTGGAGTTTGTAATTAGTGCTATAATGATCGTTTATAAAACAATGATTAAGTTGCTGTTTTTGTGGGAGTCTCTATCCCTTATACACTGTTGAACAGGGATAAAAATCTCCAGGAGAACCTCCCCCAGTGTTGTCATTGAAGTGTAGGTGCTGCTTGCAGAAGCCCTGTGCAGAAAGCTTTTCCGTGCACGTGGATGTGCGTGCTTTGTAAGAAATGGAAGGATTATTCTAGAAAAGAAACTGACTGGTGACATCTGAAAATTCTCTTACTCTTTAAAATGTTACACGGTAGTTTCTTCTGCTTTCCTTTAACTTAAAGAGGCCTGCTTTGATGAATGACAGGTCTTCATCTTTCTCATGGGGAAGAAAGTAGCAAAATAGCGGCTTTGATTCACCTTTCTCTTGAGAGATGTTACAGAATATTTTGTAAGTTGCAATGTCATCTTTACATCAGTTGTATTTTCCTTTTCCAGTGATCTCGGAATATTTTTTTTCCTGGGGTTTATGTGCCATCTTATGAAAACATGTAGAAGTCTTCCAACTTGCTTTAATGTCCTGGAAGGTTGACCTTAGAAATATTCACCCTACCCTGGAGATGATGAATTTGTCACCAAAGTGTAAGTCTTTTTTTCCCCTTTTTTCTTTGAGCTGTTTAAGACTCTGTTTTGGCAACTCCCTGCAGGCAGGTGCAGCGCGGTGCTCCCCGAGTGCATGCACCGTGGGGGTCTACGAAGACACACCAGCACAGACATGCACCCCCAGCTGCTGGACTGGGGGCTTATAAACTAACAGCTGGTTTTCATCAACCTCTGGTTTTCTGTGCTATTCAGCTCTAAAAGGAACACAGTTTTGTTTGTGGAAAAGATCAGTACCTGCTTATGATTAGCTCTGCCACAGTGTTTTCTTCACACAAGTCTATTGCTTATTTTATATAAACTTCAGAGGGTTTGATAAAAATGAAATGTTTAACTACTAGGAAAATAAAACTGAAACAATGCAGTGACTCAGAGGAGATCTTTTTTTTTTTTTTTTTTTTTTTCCCAATGTTTTCTGGGAAAACTGCAAACTCAAGGTACATCTGAAAGTCTGGCCCAAAGCACCTCTCCCATATTTAAGTTTACATGCAGTGCTTTTTCCTCCTATTAGTGTGTGTGTGTGTGTGTACACCCATGTACACCAGATTTTTATCAAGGACAGTGAGAAGGAGCATACTTCTGAAAAGCTTAATATGACTTTCTCCAGTCATCCATATGAGGTGTTTTAGGGTTTCTTTGCATTTAAAAAGATGATGCAGCCATACCGTTCTGTATGCATACTTCTCTTGAACTTTGTCCTTCTATCTAAGGCTGCTCCCAGTGACTTTCTGATACTTGCTACTCTCATGTATTTTTTGCCTAAGTGCCTTTCTGTAGTGAGCACCTTGATGTTCTGTTACACTTTTGGACCAGAAGATATTGAAGTAATACTTAAATATGCAACAATTAGAATGTAAAAGCCCAAATCACATTACAATAGAGGGTTTGGGTTTTTTGAGAATTCTCAGAATTACTTTTATCCATGAAGTAAATTGTTTCAAGCAGTGTGAAGATTCTTTCTTCTAAGTAAACCTTGTGGCGTGACACTCCAAGAAAGGCAAGAAAGTGTCTGTTCTGATTTAATGGGCAACAGAAATGTTTTTTTCTCTTTTCCCTTTGTTGTAAAAAAATAAATAATAATAATAAAGGAAAGTCTGTTTCTATACCTAACATGCCCTTTATTTTAAATGATTGTTTTATCTCCTCTCATATTATTTTGGTTTAAGAAACATGTGCTGGCACAAAGCTGGCCTCAGATAATATATAGTTGAGATTGAGTCTTTTTAGACTTTTATTATTAATATTAGTGTACTAGGTCTTTTCTTTGAGTTACGCTCACTTATCTGTAGTTACCATATATTCTGAATACAATTTCTGTGTTATTCTATAAAACAAATTTTGGAATTGATGGAATCACGTTTTTGTTCATTTCATTACATTTATTTAATTGGAGGTGGCGATGTCTAGTCCATACCAGACTTTCTCACAGAGAATAGTGTTGGTTTTTATGTGATTACAAGTTGAGGCAATCCACTCTAAATGAAATTCCTTAACAGCAGTAATAGTGAGCAGCTTATATGTGGGAAGAGCTTAAATCAGACCCAAAGACACATGCTGTGAGTTCTCTAACATTCTGTATCATTCTTAAAGTCACTTAGATTTATCTTATCATCCAGAGTGTTAAAGCGTATCAGATCTATTGCTGGTTTCTGCAGAGAGTTAGATACATTCTGTATGCATGCAGCAGCACTGAGATCATGTGTCATCTCGCTTTTGGCATTTTTAAAACAGTCTGATTGCAACTGGAGTGTGGTGGTGGGGTTTCCCATTGACGTTAATTGCCTACATAAGAGATGGCTAATGGGAAATATAACCCAAATATATCTATGTATCTTTGGTCGTTAGATTTTTGTTACGTGTTTGGGCTGCTGATATGCAGAACTTGTCAAGTTCTTGATATGCATGTGACTGGAAGCTGGGTCTGGAAGGATATGAAGCCAGGGAAAACTGTACTTCTGTACTTAAGCTGCAGTCCTTGGAAGTTCCTCTGGTCAGGATGTAGGCTCTTCTAGTTTTGCTGCAGCATAGCTGATTAGGACCTGTTTCAGCCTCAGTTCCCAGCAACTGTTATTCTTGGTTTATTGCTCTCTACTATGCTTGTTTGAATGGCACTTCTAGAAAACATTCAAATATTGCAGTTTTTCAGATATGAAGGACAGTGGGTCACTTGTTCAGTGAACATAGTAATTTAGGAGGCATTTGCTTTGCTTATTGGGAAAAAAATCACTTATTGTTTTGTTTTCTTTTTTCTTCAACAGAGTTGTATTAGGCCATTTAGCATCATGTTGATCCAGCAGCAATAAAGCGTTACTTCATTGAGACTGATGGAAATAACGCTTCAATAGCCATAAATCCACCTGCCTGCATGTTGCATTATCCACCTTCTCAAACATCAGGTAAGCTTGAGAGTTTCCTTATTACTAATTTTTGTTAAGGATTGATGAGAGCTGTGTGACATGGTCCCTTGCTAAAGGACATGGCAGACCTGTTTCACAACTACCTTGTGGTTTGTGCTGCGATTCATATCACAGCAGTGTTGGGTCTTTTAAACTGATCTTCTCCGCTCATACCAGCAATACTTTTACACTTGTTATGCCTTTCTTTAAGTGTTTAAAACATGGTAGAAAGAACAGATCAGACTGATTGCTGTCAGATGACAAAGAATTGCTATCTGGCCTTCTACTCTCCTCCTTAATTATAGTCCTACATTCACAGGGGTCTGTTCTGATATAGGGTAGGGCTAGCTTCCACCTGCAGCCAGTTGCTCTTTCCCCGTGGTAGTGAACAGTGCTTAGACTTTGGCCTGGCAGAAGTAGAACACGGACTAAGTGATTGTGGAAAGCTTAATGTTCTGCTAGGCCTATGCAGTGGTCTGTGCACACCTTCCTGCTCATTCTTCTATGTTCCCAAGACCAGATTTTGAAGCACCAACTTCTTTCAGGAGTTAAACAGCTTTTGGCTGCTCTTAGCACTTCAGCGGCTGTCATAGCTCAGCTCCATAGTTGGTCAGATGCCTCTGTTGCAATAATTCCTCCTTGTCCTGGAGTAAGTAATGATGGGGGGATGAGGGAGGATGCTTCAGCTGGCACCACAAAAAAACCTGCCCTCTCCTTTGCCTCCTGGGAATGGGTCTGTGTCTGGCTACTTGCCATGCATGTTGGAGTGTGGAGTGGGACATTACAGCTGTCTCTGTTGAACTCCACTTGTGGCTTTAAGGTTTGTTTGGGTTTGTTTTGAAAGACTTGGATGCAGCTGTCTCGAATTTCCCCTCAAATATGTTCATTTGGCCTTGCTTGTAATGAGCTGAATTTCATATTGCCTGTACTGCACAGCCAGATTGCTACACAGAATCTTAACAGCTTTAATAATTCCCTTAACCATCCAATTAGACTAATAATAAAGGCTTAATTACATATCCAGTTAATCATCAGATTTGTTCACTGAATGGCTTTAATTGGTAGATAGAGCTGTTACACTATTCTAGTTTGAAAGCTATCACCCATTTTTGCTCACAGCTATATCCACCCGATTGTTTTTATGATTGAGACTTGACCAGCATTTATTAAGAAAATAAAACGGCTCAGGAGCAAAGAAATACAACGACCCAGTGCTGTTGCAGCACCCTTCCACATCCTGTGCTCCAGCCAGGACCTCTCTTTACTGTGCTTTGTACTGTACATGTTGAAGGAACTCCAAATAGCAAATGGCTGCTTTACAGGTTTCCAAAAATGAAGCTGTTCTGTATTCTGCCCAGGTAGTTCCCTCAAAATGACTGTTAAAGACTCTGGGACCTGGAAGCCCCTTGGCTTTGTAGGATTCAATAATGCACCACCTAAGCCATTTTGAAATAGATACTTCAGTAGCCCTGAGTCTTTTCTTATTATGGAAACATATAAATTGGCTCATCCTGTAAAACCCTTCAGTTTTAAAAATGTAAAACCTAATTGCCTTATGGACATTCAAAGAATGGAGGCGCTTCTCTGGGGAGATTTTGCACTGAACCAAAAGATGACAGAACTAGTTAGTGATTAAAAAGAAAAGAAGAGTTAACCTCTTGATGCCAGTTGTCAGGATTTCCCCCTCATATATTTCTGCCTGGTTTAATTGCTACTGTATTTCTACAACATACAGATCTTCTTTCCTTTTCTTTAGGGTTGAATGTGGTAACTGTTTACAGAAACCTCATTGTCCCAGTCATTTTCCCTTCATGCTTTCAAATCAAACGCCCTGTCAAATTGCAAATTATTTTTCTTCATTTAACAAGTCTTCTGGTATCCTGAGTTCAGAAGACCCATGTTCAATGTTGAGCTTTAGCTGACAATATTGTATTGACCTTCGCTGTATTTTACGGAGGTATCATTTGAAACTACCTTGGGGGGGGGAGGGAGCCTTCTAGTATGTCAAGAATAATTATTCTGCCTTTGCATAAATAATCTTTTATCAGAGGAGAAGAAATGGTGATATTTTTAGCAGGCTTTACACCCTGGGGAAGTAAATGGCACATAAAAATGAACTTTCAAAGTGTTGGCCTATAGAAAAAGGAGCAGTGTGTGACAGCAAAAAAAAGTGAATTTCTGTGAATTAGTACAACTCATTATTCGTGCCATACACACTTGCTGCCTTACATTCCCTGCATTGTAGCTGGAATATAAAATAAAGCCCTCTCCCCGGCCCTCGGTGGCGGCCGCTCTGATTGGAAGCCACCTACAGAATGGCAGAGAGCATCAAGGAGCTGGAAGCTGGGAAACATGCAGAGCAACCGTTTCTTAAAGTGCATGTCACAAGTTACCTTTAAATATATTTAAGTGGTTTAGGTTTAACAGGCACCTCAGTTCCCCCTTACAACTCATTTAAGAGTGCATGTGTGGGGAAACACACAGATCAATAGCACTTTGACAAACTGTGATTCCATAGCTGGATCCTTTACAAAATAGAATAAAAGATTTCAGAAATGCACAAATGCCAAACCTCAAGTAGGAGAAATGATCCTACTTCAGTAGTTTTATCTTTACCATCCTGGGTTTCTGACTGTTTGGTGTAAGAGCTTTAGGTTTGTTTAATCTTTGTGTGCAAAATGTATTCTAAACAATGCTAGTGAGTGCGTAGCGTGTAATGTTTCCATTAATTTCTCTTCGGGTTATTCACAATATACATGTCTTCATGATATAGATCTAGTAATTTCTGCAGTCAAGGTTGGAAAAATCAAGGTCTTGCTGGTCAAACCTTGAGGTTCTCATGTAGCAATATGCAATATATGTTATATATATATATTATATATATATATATATATATATATATAGTATCTCACAATAGCATTTAGCTGACACCAAAACACCAAACCTGGAAACCTCCAGTGAATTGACTCTTGTGGGCTCCAGCTCTCTCTGTACTGCCTCATCTTGCCCCCAGGTGCATCTCCCTGCCTCAGCACAGGAAGGAGAGTACCAGCCTGGCGTGCCCTTTCCAGAGGACAGGGAAAGGATTCCTGAGCAGAGCCCACCACTCCCTGGGTGCCTTTGAGTGCCAGAGGAGCGCTGCCAGTGCGTGGTGTCCCCCTTTGCCTGCCTTCCTTCTCCTCCTGGCTGGCTGCTGAGACACCTCCCTGGCAAAGTACATCTTTCATTGTGAGGGGCCGTAAATAAAGAGAATTTCCGCATGACTAGGGAATCCTTTCTAGAATATCAAATTTTTAGCACTACTCTAAAGTTTCATAACTGTCCTTCAACTTCAGTTCTTGCCTTGGTTAAAGTCAGTGGTGCTTTCTGAACTGTGGGACCTTCATCATCATTTTCAGACTGATTTTTGCCTGCTGAAATATAAAATGCTTTTAAGATCTTGGCAGTTCTTGTTTGTGTCTGTTACATCATGTCCACTGTAACCATTTAGTAATCAGGTTGAGATTCCTTTCTCTGTACCTCCCATTATGCAGTATAACACTTGCTTACAACCATATCAGGAATCTTCCTAGTTTATGATGGTTCATTAAGTGCATACAATTAAGCATCTGTTCAAACTACAGTGTTAAACTTTATGGCATTTGGGTTGACAGTCAAGTGTGTTCAGTACAAATGCCACATTTCAGTACTTGCCTTTTTAATATTTTATTATGTTGCCTCTAAATTAGCTTTTTTTCTGATTTTTTTTTTTATCTGACCCTTGCAGATTCTGCCCAGAAAGAAACACTACAGCTTCTTCTTGCTTTTCCAAAACCACTTACAGTTCTGGCCTGGCCTAGCTCTGTGACCTGACAATTGTTGTTTGCCTCCTTTTAAATGACGTGAGCCTTGAGGGCCTTTCCTTTTCATACTCTGCATCAAATATGTTTTTCTGTCTCTATTTACTCACCTCCTTTTAAAACTCCTAAAAGTTCACTTTTATTTTTTCACTCATGAGAGCAATAATTAGTTCTTAGAAAGTTTGTAGACCTGCAAACTCTACCTGTGCCAAGAGATCCTGTTGCAGTGATTCTTCCTCTTCTCAGCATGCATCCCTCTCCCTTCTTATCACTTGTCATGGTCTTGTCAAGGATTCAAATGGAAGCTCTTTTGGGAAGGGCTGTATGTTTTATTATGTTTCTTTATAGCTTCTGATGCTCTCAAAGAATAAATGAATGTTCAAGGTCAGACTACTGAAGTTTATTTGATATACCAAAACTCTTATCCTGTGCTTTGGATCCAGCAGAATGAGCAAATTCAGTTTTATGTCCGCCGGCCTTAACTGCCAAAATATGAATGCAATTTAAAACCATTGCACTGGTGCTAACCCTTCCTGGCGCCAACCTTACTAAAAGGCTGCTACAGCAGAAGATAACCTGTTTTCAGAAGCAATTGTCATACATTGACAATTTACGTACATTGTAGCCTTACATTGAAGGCTACAGATAGGACTGAGAATGGCTGTATGGATCTGGCCTTATTCCGGGCCTTATTCTGGCCGGGACTCTGCAGCCTTTCAAAAGAGAACTAATGCTATGGTTTAGGCCATGCAAGCATGAAGCACAAATCTGTGACAGACTGCTAGGTATCAGCAATACTAATTGGGACTGGTCATAGGATTAAGGAAGCAATAGCATCAGTACGAAGGCTACGGAACGTGTTCACAGGGAAAACTGGAGCCACAGCATCTGGTAAGCAGTTAGGCATACTGCAGCAGCACGACAGAAACTCCATTCTGAACATGTACTCATTAGTCTGCATTGTGTGAGTCTAGAGTACAAAAGGAGGGAGGAATGGAGACTTTAAAAGTGGTGTTGTCTTCTGATGTAAATGTGCTTCTGCTGCTGGATGCAGTGCTTAAAGCCAGAAGTAAACAGACTGGGTTATGAACTGGAGCTGTTCACAGAAGTGAGCTCATTCTGCTTCTGAAGTTCCGTGCAGCAGCTGTTTTGCTGTTAGTTTTGGTTTTGAATATGTAAACATTTAAATAATGTTTGAGCTCAGGTATCTCCCTCTGCTACTGTACTGACTGCATAATAACTTCATTTTCCCCTTCTAAATCCATTCTAATAACAATGTATTAAGTAACAAAATGGTGTTCTGATGAAGGGAACCATCACTGTTAAATGTCTAACTCTTCCTGCCTATGCTGAGGAGTGGAAATATGTGAGAGGAATTCACCTCTCTAGGAATTTCAAGGGAACTTCTGACCATGTTTCTCATTTACAGTGATTCTCATCATGGAACTCTTGGAAGAAACTTAGTATTTGTAAGTCGGTGTTAGCATCAATGTGATTGCACAAAACTAGATGTTGGCCACATAATGGAAGAACCTGGAGAAGTCTGGAAACCGAGGCTGATAGCTATAAACATCTAGAAAGTGAGTACCGCCCAAGTGGTGTGAAGATACATATACAAGTATCCTCTACTCCTTTATGTGGCGATGTTCATTACTTATTCATGCAGTTACCGAGAGCTCATTCCTCCCATTCTTGTATAGCTTTGTCCTCTGCTTCAGACTTGGGAGAGCTGCCTAAGCTTTTCTTCCCTTCTTCCTTTCTTCTCTTATTTTTTGATTAGCAGCCCTTAGTTCCCTTCTTTTCTGTTTTGTTGCTCCTTTTTTTTTTCTTTTTTTCCTTTTGACTCCGTGCCCCCAGCTGCAGCTGTAGGCTGGAAGTGGGGCTGGGTGATGTCTGTGGCAGTCAGAGCCTGCTTCTCTGTCTGCCTCCTCTCCCTGGTGACTTCTGGCCACTCTGCTCCCCGTGCCTGCCTCCCCCCTGGGCTGTGCAGCCAGGCGTGCAGCCAGGGGCAGAGGCACTGGGTTTGGGCAGCTGCCCAGGAAGAATAGTTGGTCTCCTTCCTAGCTCAGCAGTCAGAAAAGTCTCTCCAGCATCAAATAGAAAAAGAAGATCTCTGAAAGTGGAGCAGCTCTAGCAATATTTTGCAAAAGGCAGTAATTATAAGCAGCAACATAAAATCTGAATTTGTTTTCAGTAGTGTTATATTTTCCTAATGTTGCAGTGTCAGAGATTTTTATCTCACAAGTGTGAGTGTTAAATAAAACTCCACACGGTAGAGGAAAATTCAGTATGACAAAAGAAAATTCAATATTTGCCAAAAGAAAATATTTGAGAAACAGGCTAATATTTTTTTATGTGCCTAATTATTTGCAATCTGAGCTTTCCAGTCTCCTTTAGTGATGTGATCTGCAAAATATGTGTGTTTCCTTTGAGTCTTGTCGTAAGACTGTGAGGTTTTGAGTTCCGGCACCCGTTTAGAAAAAAGAACTGGCATCAAATACAACATTTGTCATTTTAGGGCTGACTTTTGTCATGGTATGTTGGTGACAATGCATGAAAAAGACTTTTCTGCATACAGATTTTATTTAAAATCTGATGCATCTTGAAGGCTAATCAATTGCTAGGTCAGTCACTGTCTGAAAAGATGCTCTTGTGATTACATTTGTGGAAAAATATTGATGGAGCGCTACAGTAGTAGGCACCATGTGAATCAAGTGGGTGCTGCCAAACCATGTAGTCAGAGGCACTCTGTCTTGGAGATACGGTTTTTATTGCAGAATTGGGATTAGCCTGTGCAGAAGCCAGGTCTGATAAGCCCCCTGGAGTCTTCAAAGCTGAAGTCACATAATTTAGTATTTTTTTAAACACATTGACTATGGCTTTAAACTATTAATAACAAAACAGATTTACAGGCATTTATCTTAATTATAATTTTATATTCTCAGCATTGTAGCTGAGCATCTGATGGACTTTTAAGTTATTCTCTCCTATTTTTGTATTTCTTATCTCCTATTTTTGTCTACCATTATGGCATGTCTTTATCAAACAGGTATTTTGGGGTCCCTGCTGCTGCTTATCCTTAGCACAATATGTTTCCCATTGACATCAGCCGGAGAGTACCCAGTGCTGAGAGAACAGGCTAAAGCCCTTCCTCACTCACAAAATCTATCCTGAGAAATCTGCATAGCTAAAATGGAAGCTCCGTTATTTTCTATGGGAATTATTGCTCATGCATAACTGGGAAGAGGGGGAAAAAATAACATAGCAAGGAAAGCCTTTAGAAAGAGAGAAAGTAGGTGATAAAAATAGGGCATTTCCCTGACTGAATTTCCAGGCTGTACAGCAAGAGGTTTCACTCCTCGTTTTTGACCTTAAAAAAAATAAAAGGCAAGGGGAGGAAGACTGCTATATCAAAACAACATTGGAGGTTTCTTAATAGATTGGACATTTGCCTTAAAAGAATTGCATTTTATTTTGCTGTTACTGATTACACTGGAACTGGGTGTAGCATGTTGTAAATTAGCCCGTAATTCTAAGGCGTGTAATGAGACAGTCCACATCACAGGTCTCACAGACCTGGAAACTAGTTAGAAAGCTGGTACTATAATTCTTGAGCAACACATCCCTTCTTGCTGCTATCAACTTGATCTAAACTGGCCTTACAGTGTAATCGTAGTTCTGGGATTAATGTTATTAAAAAATAAAAAAAAAAATATTAAAAAAAATAAAAAGAAATCTTTAACCAGCTGTGTCACTAAATAAAAACATGATTTATTTTTTTTTTGATGAGACGAAAAGTGTGCAAATATGCTGTGAAAATGAATATGCATTCAATAGATATGTTTGTGTCCAACATAAATTGTGTATGTACTATAAAACCGTGTCATGTCCAGCGAGTTCAGCTATAAGTGAGCCCCATCTGGTGGTGATGTAAAGAAAGGACCGAAATGGTAACTGCAGGGAAAATACAAAGGACTGTAAATCTCTTCAAAAGATTAAAGATTTAGCAAATATAAATGATGCAAATTCATCTAGGTACAATATAATCTCTACTTGTTTTTTAATTCTCAGCTCTGCACTGCAAACTCACAGTTGTATCTTTAAAAAGAGGGAATGTTTTGGGGAGGTTTGCAGGTAGTTTTCTGTCTTTTGTGGGGATTGAGTTTTAATGCAAATTGTTGTACCAACTTTTCACATCTTTGATTCAGATAGATGGTGACAATTGTTTTTCTAAGCTGAAGCCATAATGAGTTGGCTTTTGTTTTGTTGTATAACCTAGACACAATTCGCCAGCTGATGAGAACAAGAGTAAATCAGAAGGGTAGCACTGACCGACCCGTGCACACGAAATTTGCATTGCGCAGCTCCATCTTCATGCTTATCTGGACTTGGCCTAGATTTATTTGTGCCCAAGGCTAGTAGCGATCACTGAAGAGTTAATGTTTGCCACACCAGTGTCTGTTTTGGTCTGGCAGCAACGTCAGACCTTGCCATCACAGCGTGTTAGACATTTTGGTTTTCAGCTTTGTGTGGAGTCCCCATCGCAGCAAAAGGAGGTGCAATGCCCAGGTGCTGTCATGTGGCTGAGGTAGGCTGGGCTGACCCAGGGGCTGCTGAGGTGGCCTGGGGGAGCAGGAGGCATAGGGACTGCTGGGGTGATGCTACAAGGCTGCCGTGCTGTATGCCCACACCACTCTGGGGCACGTCCTAGTGGCCTTGAGGGACTTTTCTTGCCTGTAAACTAGAAGCAGCATCCCTTCTGCCTCCAGCTCCTCTCCACACCACCTGCCAGCCCAGCAAGGCCAGCCTGTTCTGGCTTTAATCCCGCAGGTAAAGTTTGGGGCGGGCAGAGAACGAAGCTGCAGGATTGTGAGGTTTGGGAGTTTCCGTACTCCAGCCTTGCATGGAGGCCTCTCCAGAGGCGTGGAGAGTTGGGCTGGGAAAGAGCATCCCAAACCACTTTCAGGTTTGTATTATTCCACAGGCAGAAACTTCATTCTCATTCATTTCCCAATACATGCATATTTTTATAATACCCTTCTTTAAGTTTAATTATTTATAGCTCTATACAGCTGTATATTGCCCATATTCTAGTTCCACCTAACGTCGAAACTGATTTATTGCATACTTTTTATGAATTACATACTTTTACGAATTTAATTCATTGGTTTACTGTGCTTAGAAATGCTCAGGTATTTGATGAGTCGTTTGCTCTGCTGTGATGTGAGTCCGAGTGCCCACACCGTGGCGGTGTGTTCAGCACAGGAGTGAAGTGCAGGTGCTCTCAGGGTGCTGCAGGCACCGGATGGCCCCTGGCTGCCGGCTTTCCCCCTTCTGAGGGAGGACAGCTGACATGCTGGTGGTCTGTTCTCTCACTTCTGCTTGGTATTTGTTAATGATACACTCATGGTTTTGCTTGTTCCAGTATGGCATCTTTATCTGTCTCTGGGGATAAATCTTTTAGTTTTTTATTTTATTTTATTTATTTAATTATTTTGCATTTACCCCCTGCTGTTTTAGGGAGAACAACAGGGTAATAGGTGTGGCAAAATTCCTTTAGCAAGGAAAAAAGAAGAAAAAAAAAAAAGAGCACCTTTCCATCTTCCAGGCAGGGTAAATTAGCCTCTGGATGGAATAAACTTTTGAGAAAGTGGAAAAATATTACAGAACTATTAACAGGCCACAAACCTCAAGCTGGTGGTTTCTAGTGGGTGTAGAAGATTGAATAAAGCACCTTCACACAGAACTAAGTCTTTCCTTAGCTCAGAGGATTTGACTGTCGCCGGAATGAGTTATAAAAACTTTGGAATTGTATGCAGCGTTGTATGCAAAGGGATGGCTGAGTTCCATCATTTGCCAGTGTGAATCTCCTTAAGAGCTGGAGCACAATGATATTTGGAGCACATAACATAAAATATAATTGCTAATCTTGATTGCTTTTAAGAGGTGACGATTCCCAAAGTTGTATTTGTTAAGGCTTTTACTTTTTGTTACTGCATTTGGATGGATACACACAGCGAACCCAAATTTATGAATGTACCCAGGGAAAAAGAAAGCTTTAAAAGATTATTTTTAAAATATTAATTTATATAAAGTACAGTTTGGCTTCAAGTAAATAAGAAATATAAAGTGGTTATAAACGGTGTTTGTATACTGAAGAGTTATACTGTTTGATTTATGTAATGCAGTGTGTCGATAGGGAGAGAAGTTATTGACCAGATCTTGATTTAAGTGGACCTGATTTCTAACCTAGGTCTTTAGTTCTTTCTGCCAGCTTTTCTGAATTGTTCCCTGCTGCCTGCAAGATGGTTTTCATCAAAACTGTATTATATGGGGAAATGTGCATTTTGTTAAAGTTGAAAATCTCCACAAAACCATACATTTCAATGTGTTTTTTTTTTTTGTTTGTTTTTTTTTAAAAGTTCATAAACAAGTTTCATTTTTTTAAAATTTTCTCATTTTGAATATGTTACAGAATTTCAAACACTATTATTTATGAGTGCATGCTACAAAGTAATATGTATTGCATATTTACATGTAATACTACTTTATAGAATACAATATTTCTGTTTCTTGTTTT